AAAACAAAAGAATTCAATTACGAAAACTCCAAATTCCATGAATAATTCATCAACACTTCATAATAACTCAAACAGTGCGCATATACATATACTTTCAAAAAAGTGAAAACACACACGCGATAGCGAATTTACCTTAAAACATGAAAAAGTTTCAGAAAACGACATTTAATCAGCATATTTTTTCGACGCTGACGTTGGTTTAAATTTATTGACAAATTTTGCTAGATCATTTTTTAAGCTACAGTCTTCATTTATATTCATATATACCGCCTCAAAAAGACTGTCAAAATGATGCATCTCGATATCGACAACTTTCGCTGACGAGCCAATTGATTCGGAGATTTTCGAGGCACTCTCGGGAAACCACTGCCTAAAAACAAGATGGATTAGTAAGAAAAATGAAACAATTCGAAGGAGACAGACTCAGTAGAATAACTTGAATACATTTTTCGATAATTACGATATCCATCCATTCTTTTAACATGACTATTTGATTGAAGCATAAACTATGGAGACATATTTCAATCAGTTTTCATCAAAAAATAGAGGCGAACACTTTGTATCAAAATGTGCAAAAACACAATGAGTTTTATCAGCAAAACTGAATGCTGAGCAATATGCTCTATGAAAATTAAAAGATCTAAGAGATCAGTTGAAGGGAATAACCTCAATCGATCACTCAAATTTGTTTTTGCCGTCAATTTCGCAGTGATATTCAACCAGAATGCATATTTTAGCAGTATATCAGCGGCTCTGCATGTACCATTCTCAACACCAGTCAAATCATCGTCATCGTCATTTGCGATTGTATTTGCTAATGTTAACGAACCAATCTGCAACGTTCGCCTCGGTCTTATACTCACACCATACGTGAGACCATTTCGGATTCCAACCTTGAAGATGAAAATTCCGATCATTTAACCACTTTCAGACGATGATTGATATTTCTGCTGGACAAAAACCATTCTGAATGAACCAATCACAGCCAACTTACACCTATCTTAAAGAACACAACTCAAAGGACAATATTCTTCATTGATTCGAGCGAATCATCGAATCAATAAGTAAGAAATTTATCCATAAGCTCAGTGTACTGAATGTTATTCTGTTATCCGTTCTGATGAGCGGACAAGTCCACTTAGAGTGAGTATCAAATGATTAGTTCAGATAAGCTAATTATTATGATGACTACAATCGAATTTATAATGATTTCATTGTGTTTTCAATTG